TTTCGTGAGTTCTGTGAGTGGGTAGGCGATCTCTGCATACCCTGGGATATAATCGCGATAATATTACATAGTCCTAACAGACTTTTAAGATCTCTTTTCGTTTTCGGCGTTTCAGCTTCTTGATTGCCTCTATTTTCTCGGGATCTGGTTGATGTTTTCCTGATCCAATGATGTGTCCTAAATATTTAATTTGAGGTTTTGCAAACGAACATTTCTTCGAATTGATAGTAAAATCCAAGTGACTCTAGTTTGGTAAAAACTTTATCCAGATGTCGGAGATGAGTGTCGAATCCGTGGAAAATATAGCTATGTCATCATATAGGCTCTTGAAAATTGTTGAAATTCTTTCAGCGCGTTATTCATTACTCTCTGAAAAGTGGCTGCTGCGTTCCTTAAGTCCAAAGTGTAGCGCTTTAAGCTGATATTGACCTTCGATGAGTTTTGAAGGATGTGTACTCTTTACTTTGTTCCTCCATGGGAATTGCCCAGTAAATCCTTTCCAAATCTAAAGTTGTTATGACGTTGGCTCTTCCTATACTGTACATTAAATCAATGGCGTTCTGCATAGGAAAGTCATCTGGCTTCGTCACTGCATTCAAAGCTTCGATAATCTAAACACGATCTGATATTTCCATCTTTTTTGCTTACACAAACTACTGATGAGCTATTTCTGCATTACTTTCTTTCTATTAGTCCCGATTTCAATAATCCTTCTACTTCTTCATCGACCTTGGGTTTCAATGCTTCAGGAATCCTATAAATGTGAGGTTTCTTCCTCTCCATATTGGGTTTAATCTAATTTTATGAGCTTCAACTTTTAGCTATTTTCAGCTTTTCCGGTGAATAGTGCTCGGTGTTTGTTGATAAGAGCTATCAATTTTCTTCTCTGCTGCGGATTCAAATTTTCTAAATTCAGATTGCATCTATTTTAAAATCTTCCAGGGGGGTCGAGAGATCTTTTCCTGGTAAAGTTATAATTTCTCCAAATTCTTCTTTCATTTTCAAAATATCACTCCAACTGCATTGACACTAGCTTGGAATTTTTCTAATTTTATTGCATGAACATGTTTGATCTTTCCATCAGGTAGTTTTACTTTATAGGAATGAGGTGGCAATGATTCACGATTTCTCCTGGACCAGTCCATCGTGCATAGAGTTTGTTATTTGATCTGGTATGAGTAAATAAACTTGTTCTCCGATTTTGAAATTTTTTGGTATTGATCTCCGATTAAAGTACTCAGCATATTTTTGTTGTTTATCACTTGCATTAAATTGGCTTGTTCGGCTGCTTGTTCTAACCTTATTTTTAAAAGTTGTAAGTAATCCACTGCCGATTCACTTAGATTAGGTGGTATAGGTATTTCTCCTGACCATGAAGACTTCAGTACTGCTAAAGGACCTCTTGGTTGTCTTCCATACATCAGCTGAAATGGTGAGACACCCGTGGTGCAGTTTGGTACTTCTCTGTATGCAAAGAGCAGGTATGGGATGTGCTTATTCCAATTCGAAGGATCAGTCCTGATGACATGATGTAACATTTGCTTGAAGGACTTGTTCCATCTTTCTACTGTTTTCTTTAATCCATTTGAAGCACTGTAAGCAGGTGTAGAGAACCTAGGGTGAGAACCTAGTCTTTTCTGGAATTCTTTAGTTAATTTTGAAACGAAGTTACTTCCGTTGTCACTAGCTATTGTATTAGGGATTCCTGTTCTCATGAAAATCTCCAAAAGCGCGTCGCAAGTGGCTTTTGCTGTCAAGCTTCTCAGTGGAATGGCTTCTGGCCATCGGGAATGTTGATCTACCAGACATAACACATATTTATGTTTCCTAGCAGAGGGAGGTTCAATAGGTCCAAGTAACGTCAATGTTAACTGTTTCGAAAGGTAATCCTGGCCTTCTGACCGGTGTGATGGAAATCTTGTCAGATCGCTTTTCTGGACTCTTCAACTGACAATCCTTGTATGTTTTACAAAAAGGTTTCAACATCTTGTGCTAATCCAGGCCAAAAAAAATAAATATCATATTCATTCCTTTGTTTTTCTTATTCCCAAGATGTGCACTGAAAATGGAACCTATGTGCTAATTCCAACACTTGTGCTCTTCTACTAAGCGGAAGCACTAACTGAAAAACAGTCTGTCCTAATATTTTTTCATGATGTAAAAGATGATCAATAAATAAATAATTTCCTTTTTTTTTTCTATTACTAGCTTCCATGCTTCTCTCAGCAAGGGACAGTTAACTTGATCTTTGCGTAGGCATTCAGCAGACGACAAGTCTGTGTTTACATAAACACTCGTCTTCTCCCCTTCCTCCTCTTCGTTTTTCTCCGCCATAAGCATTAGCGGGGGGGGGGGGTCGATGCTGTCGTTTGACTGTGCATTGGCGAATAAAGTTCGAGCGTTTTCGCTTCCGTAATTATTTCTTTCTGCCGTTTGGTTCTTCTGCCGCAGGATTAATCAACAGTTCGTATATTTCTGGAGTTATTAGGCAAGGCACATTTAGCTTATCAGTCACTGCAATTAATGTATCCACAAAATTAATATATTGCTTCCATGATCTTTATGGTAAATAGGTACACGGCAAACTTTTGCTTCAATTGGTTGTTCCGAAAGCAGGTGTTAGCAATATTTTACCTCCTCTCTCTCCTCTCTCTCCTCTAAATTTGGAATGAGCGATGGAATGTACGATCGTTATCTGCGTTCCAGAGTCTACGATAGCTTCGATTTTCTCAGAGTTAATAAAAATATCTACTTTTGCAGTGGTTGAACGATGCGTTCTGCGAATTCAGATCGTAGATGGGATGAGTCTACTTTAACTACGATGGCTTCTTCTTTTGATGTTCTGTTTTGAATTTTTTGAGTTTTGGAATCATCCTTTCCCTTCTTATTTACTGCAGTTTTCGTTCTTTCTTCTTTTGTCTGGGCAATCTCTCGCGATGTGTTGATAATTTCCACAAATATAACATTCTTTTCTTCTAGCGTGAAATCTTTCGTGTTTTTGGATATTCTTTTCTCATGGTGGTGGAATATATTTGTCGTGTGCTCATGTTGTATCCAGGAATCTCGGTGATCGCTTAATTTCCATTTCGAACTTCGTCGAAAGATTTTCCTTTGGCCGTGAAATAAATATCACATTCTGTAGCTAATTCTTGAGGCTTCAGCCATTTATTTCCTTGGCGTATTGCGACGTGTGCAGCTGTTTCTTCATCTAATGCTTGGAATAATTTATCGGAAATAATTAACTCCTTGAGTGTTTCGAAATCCTTTCCTTCTCTTGACTTGCAGTAATAGTCCCATGTAGCTGTTAGTCTTTGAAGCGAACTGGATATGCGTTTCGCCGGAATAACGTTTAGTTTTTCTGAAGTTTTCTAAACAGGTTTGAGGAGTAGGTTGATATTCCTTCAGAACAAGAGTTTTCACTTTTTCGTAATTTTGCAGATCTTCCTCCTTTATATAAACAAGAACATTTGAAGCTTTTTCTCCAATTAATTTCAATAATATTTCTGATTTGTATTCTTCAGGAACCTTCTTGTGCTTAAATGCTCTTTCGATATAATCGAAAAATATATTCCATTCTTCTGCTCTCTTCGGTACTGGTATAGTCAGTGTTTCTACTCCTTTGATCAGCTTGTCCAGGAAATTTCGGTTTCTCGTTCTGTGTTTTGGATTAAAGGTGTTGGACTTCTACTTCCTTCATTTTGAGTTGCTCGAATCTTCGCTAGTTCTATTTCGTGTTCTCTTCTGTTCTTATTCTTTCTTCTTCCATTTGCATTCTTTCCATTTCTTCTTTTCTTTTTCTATTCTCCACTGTAGTAATCAGAATTTTCTTTCACGAAATCAGCATCTTCGATGTATTCCTTGCTATTCTGGAGTTTTGTGTTTCAGTTCTACCAGCTTCAAATCTGGGGATGCTTCTTCGCCAATTTCCAATAGAAACTGTTACTAAATCCTCTTTCTTTGCGTTTTTTTGAACATTTTCTTCTATTTTCCTTTAGAATCAAGCCTTTTAAACTCTCGATTAAATAATTCTCACGTTTTTACTCTCTTTTGCAAATGAACACTTCTTTTCGTTAGTTAGGCTTAACTTTACGCCTCTTCCGTTTTCAACGCTCTAAGCTTCTAACCTCTCTGGTTTTCTCGAAAGAGAGCGTGTTGTGATGACTTCGTGGTTTAATAAGGAACCATTTAGCAAGACGAAACAAACATTTATTAATATATAATTCAAAGCTAATATAATAGTTACTCAGAGCAGTACGTCGCTCCTACCGCATAGTACAATCTACTACCTTCCTCTTCCGAGGCTAACATGCAACTCCTAATAAATACATTAACCCTTCTCGAAGAAGAGCTACCTGCGTTAAGCATGCTCTGTTGATCGCCAACAGTCGCCAGATATCACATGTGATTTATATATATATATATATATATTATATATATATATATTAAATATAATGTAAAAAAATACGATGGCTTTGCTCTACGCGAACAGGCAACCTATTCTAATTAATTTCCGCAATTTTCTCTCCCTAAGACCTTAGTACCTTCAAGAACATTTAACCTTTACCGTACGTAACCGCTACTATAAATAAAGAATGCGCGCCGTTTTGCGGATAGAAGCTTTACTCTTCCTCGGCTGTTAGGATCTATGCTACTGCGCTTCTCATCTGCCTTCCTTTTTTTAGAATTAGTTATGACGCATAAAGTTTAAATTCAATTGTATTTAGTTTAAATCACTATTGAATATGTAATTTAGAGAATTTCATATGAAGTAAAGCACGATCTATGGTGAAAATTGAATTAAAGCTATGGAATAAAGATGTGCACTTAAAAGCTAAATCACCTTGTCTCGTCATTTGGATTTGCCTTACCACTCTGCAAAAGCAATGCCTGAACTTTGATGCCAAGCTTCATCATATATATATTATATATATATATATATATATATATATGCAATTCTTTTTCCCTGTTAGTTTATAATCCATTTTTTAAATTGAAATAAGTAAATTAAATAAAAAATTTTAATTAAGTCTAAATCATATGGCACGAAATTATGCATAAAATTGATTAATAGCAAACTGTGATGCAGATTATGATTCAATGAAAGTAAAATCAGTTATATAAAATAATTAGAAGCATGTTGAGTACTATTTCTGGGGCCTTCCTGGAGGATTTCCAGGAGGAGGGAATAAAGTAGGCAAATCCGGCACATTTCTTTTCGCTTGCTCATCTAACTGTTCAACCTTTCCTCTAGAGCAATTTCGGCAAACCTCTCCAGCATTGGCTATTGATATATCGCTATCGGAACTATAAGATTCTTCCGTCTCTTCCTCATCTTCTTCTTTTTCCTCGTCTCTCTCGTCTTCAATGTCATTCTTGTCGCGTTTGCGTTTCCTCCGCTTGGCAGTTTTCTTTTTGCCCCCAATGTTCCTCTTGGATCTTTTTCTCTTTGAGCATGATGTGGTAGTTTTTTGCGCCCTTTGAGATGCTTTTTTTCTTTTCGCTTTACTTTTCTTTCGTCTATCAGCTCTTCCTGAAAGATTAGGGCAAATATCAAATAATATTGAAATGCCGTAAGATACTGACTACCACATAAATGGTCATATATTATTTTTTAAGCTTTAAAAAAAATCCATAGTTACTTCATGTATGGATTCCTATAAACAAGTGCTCCGACAGTTAAAAAATTGTATTTTGCACAACATTTAACAACTTTCTATGTAAACTTGCATAATTATGGTAAATTTTACTTTGAAGAACCTTTTTTCTTAGCCCAAAGGAGCCTTAGCCCAGAAGGGGTATTAGTCTCAAAGTGGCATTTTGAGTTGGTTAACTGTAAACGGCTTATCACTTTTTAAATTGTTGCCACCAAATATTATCGTTCTGTATTATATTTAAAGAAATAAAGAAGAATCTACATGAATGTATGCATGTGTCACGCATTGTGAAAAAACGACGTTACCTACAGCCATCAGATATTAAATAACGTAATCCTCTACCCGAACATGGGCACTTGGAGGTCCGAATTTTGAATTTCAAATTTGTTTTATTATCTATTTCGTAATTTGTAAAACTTTAATGAATTTTTGATTAACAAAGCGATTTCAAAGTGAGCAGTGGCAATACTGTGCGAAAAAAGCATTTTTATATCCAGCTCGCGAGACAGTCTATCGCTTAAAATAAATTGGGATTTATTTTTCTGTAAGTGATGTAATGTCTAAAAGAATCATTATTGACTCCACAGTTACTTCTCACATGTGTTCGCAAGAGGAATGGTTTTCTTCATTCACTCTCAAGTCATCCATTTTACATGTGAAAGGTGTTTTGACCGTATTTCCAGCAAAATATCCAGTAATGTTCAACTAACACTCAAAGATGTGCTTTTCGTTAGGTTAATTTTCACTGCTTTTATTTAAAGTTTTCTCGCTGGAAAGTTTACCGACAAATAAATATCTTCAAAAGATGTCATACGCGTGTTCATTAAATACGATTCAAATGAAAATTAGTAATCAGAGCAGTATTTCACATCATTTCAAATCTAAGTTAGTTTGTGATACTAGATTCACGAGAGTTACTTGCCCTTCAAAACACCTGAAAGAGTCATTAAAAGAAGTTTTCACTAAAGAAATAAAGTTTCTGCGCTTTTGTGTTAATTTAGAGTATACAATTCGTGCAGAAGAACGCATGATGACGCCCATAAACCGGGTATAAACAGTATTACATAAAATTCTTGTGTTTTAAATGTTCTATTTGACATCCCTTATTCTGAACTATCTTTCAAGACCTCAATTCCAGGATAATAATGCCTTTTGAAGTGGCAGAAGAGGTATTCTATCCCATTCCTCCCGAACAGCTTTCCAGAGTCCTGTTAGGGTTTTGGGATAACGTTTGGATAATGCAGTTTTTAAAAGTCCGAAAGCACAAAAATCCATAGGTGACACATCGGGAGATTTAGTAGGGATATCAGTGAAGGGTATGGCCTTGATACCAGTTTTTTGTTCCATTTCTTTTAGGAAATTTACAGTGGATTTTTATGTGTGACTGCTAGCTTTGTCCTGATGGACTCTCACAGATTGATGGCACTGTGGGTAAAGCGATGGTATTTCATTCAGAAAAATTGCCGATAAAATATGTTCCTGATAGTATTTGGAGTTAATCTTGACATTTTTTTGCACTCTCTTTATTTTTAACTTGCCATTATAAGAAAAACCAGCAACAATCATGAATCCCTTAGGAAAACTTTCTTTCGATTCTTTGAACCATGTACTTAAAATTTTTACTCCCCTTTTATGATAATAAATGTGGAAATCATACCGTCCAATGCTGAATGAGAATTGCCCGTTATGACGTCATCAGTATAGCTTCACCCAGCGCAGTAAGAATCATCCCAGACAGCACTGAGACCTGGTCGAGAGTGGAGGGCAGACGTGAGCAGACGGCTCACACGTCTTCAAGAGTTATTAACTTGATGTTATGCTTTAAAAGGACTTATCTTATGTTAATCCTGCATACCGTTAACTTCATCTTTATATACTTTTCTTAATTACTTTTATTTCTTTATATTAAATAAACCATTTTAAATATTACTTCGTGCTCTCATGCTGTGAATTAAGTCAAATTCTACAAAAAAATATGGCGACCAACCGTGCGGCCTCGAATTCCAAAATGTGTGCGAGTAGTAGAACTGTCCTTTGAACTACTGAGTGAAAGTTATTCGATTTATTGGATTACTCGTATAAAGTGTAGATTACCCAATTGACGACGATCATCTGTCGGGTGAGTACAAAACTTTCTTTCCAATATGAAGTTAGTAGAAATTCCAGAATTGGAAGCAGCTTTAAAGAACAGTAAAAGTTCTGAAATCAAAAGTTTGCATAAGCTTATTTTTAATACTGATGGAGATCGAAATAACCGGAAAAGATTACGTGAATTTTCTGGCTTTATATTTAAACCAGATTCTGAAGAATTTAATAAGAAAATAGATACAGTGCAGAATAGTTTTACTTTGAATGAGTTAATTAAAATTTGCAATGTACTGTGCATAAATTCAGAAGGTTAAAAACGGAAGTCGTAACCCGAATTGTCTCTTTCCTATGTGATTTATCTGTATTATTTGAAAATTTTGCATGAAGAAAATAGTGATATTGAAGATGAAACTATTAATAAATTTCTGAAGTAATGCTTGATGATAATCAAAGAGACAATCCTGGTTTTAATGAGTCTCAAGTAAATAACAGTATGCAGCTTCCAATTCAAGATCATTTTAAACCTCATCTTAGTTTTTTCTGATATTGAAAGTATTGTTAATCCTTTTTTCTGGTAATGCATATGAAAATGTTGATAAATGGATTGATGAATTTGAAGATGTTATAAATTCTTTGAAATTGAGTGATTTGCATAAATTAGTTTTTGCTAAAAGATCATTAAAAGGTAAAGCGAAACTATTTATTCAGAGTGAACCTAAAGTTAATGACTGGTGTAAGTTAAAAAAGCTTTTGAAATCTGAATATGGTAAAGCTTTTAATTCTGCTGAGTTGCATGAAATGTTATGTAAACGTAAATTAATGCCTAATGAATCTTTAGATGAGTATTTTTTGAAAATGAAAAGAAATGTGTTTCGCGAGGTAACATTGAAGATGCTTCATTAATTAAATATGTTATTGATGGTATTCCCGATTCTGTGGTTAGGAAAACTATACTATATGGTTGCGAAACAATATCTGAATTTAAACAAAGGCTTAAAATTTATGATAAAATGAGATCGGACAATGATAAGTTTAAAAATCCGAAACCGAAAGTAGACACTCAAGTTAAAGATAGAAGTAAGCTTTCGTCATCAAACCGAAATCAATCTAACGTTAATAAGGTCAAATGTTTTAATTGCCAGGAATTTGGGCATTATTCTAAGCATTGTGTAAACAAATCAAAGGGTGTAAAATGTATAAAATGTAAAATGTAAGAAGTTCGGGCATTATTCAACGAACTGTCCAGAGCAGACCCCCGAGACACAACAAAGCAGCTTTATTACAACGAATTTGTGACAAGGATAGAATTATGAAGACTGTAGAAATAAATAATCATTTAGTTGATAGTTTAGTTGACACTGGTTCAGATGTAACGATATGCAGCGTAGAGTTACACAAGCAGATTGGTTCTCCTAATTTAAATTGTAGCGATATCACATTAAACGGAATTGAATCAAAGCAAACGTACCCCATCGGCTTTTTCATTTCTGATATTTCAATTGATAGTTTTTCACTTGCGTACGAAAATTTATGTTGTTAAGTCATTATGTAATCAAATTGTATTAGGTTTGGATGTATTGAATCAGTTTAACTTCTCTTTTTACCGAGAATGGCCTTCAAATAATTTCTCATCGGAATAAAAGTAATGTAAACTTGATAACTGCTGAGTCATCTCGAAATTCTAACGTTCGTTGCGTTATGGGAAATTTGAATATTGCTGTCTCATTGAAGAATGTTTATGATCCTTCGCGATCGTCTGGCGTCTCTGTTAATGTAAACAAAAGTCCCGAAAGCGGAAGTAGCTCGACGTTTAATTACCTTTCACATCTGGTGAATGCTATTTCTGTCAACGAGATTGATTTATCGCATATTTCGAAATGCAGAACATAAAGAAAGACTGTGTAATTTAATTAATTCGTACCAACCTCGGAAAAATAGACAATCTGACTTCAAGATGCAAATAAATTTATGCGATGATATTCCTGTCTGTCAAAATAGAAGATACATGTCTTTCGCGGAACAAAAAATTGTTGACGATCAAATTAAGGAATGGTTAAAAGAGGGCATAATAAAGCCTAGCAATTCTAATTATTCGGCGCCTATTGTTTTGTGTAACAAGCGTAATAATTCGAAACGTTTATGCGTATAGATTATCGGAAATTAAATAAGAAGATTATTAAAGACAAATTTCCACTGCCTTTAATTCCGGAAGTACTTGATCGCTTAGAACAGTCCAAAGTCTTCACGACACTAGATTTGAAAAATGGCTTTTTCCATGTAGACATAGACGAAAATTGCACCAAATATACCGCATTTGTAACACATAATGGTATCTACGAATTTCTTAAAGCTCCTTTTGGTTTATGTATTAGTCCAAATGTTTTTCAAAGGTACATTTATTCAGTATTTCGTGACTTGTTAAATGAAGGTGTACTAATTATTTATATGGATGATATAGTCATACCGGCTAATGATGAAGTTGAATGTTTAGACAAATTAGAAAGAGTATTCAAAACTGCTTCGGAGTATGGATTACAAATAAATTTCAAAAAGTGCCAATTCTTAAAACGTAAAATTGAATTTTTGGGACATGTAATTGAAAACGGAACTATTCGACCATCACCTTCCAAAACTGTTGCTGTTCGAAACTTTCCACAACCGCGTAACTGTAAACAACTACAAAGCTTTTTAGGACTAACGGGATATTTTCGTAAATTCATTCCTCAGTATGCTAAAATAGCTAAACCTCTTAGTGACTTACTTAGAAAAGGTATTGGTTTTAAGTTCGATTCCGAACAACAGGAAGCTTTTTGCAGATTAAAAGAAATTCTCTCTCAGGCACCTGTTCTACACATATTTAGGCAAGGATATCCATTAGAACTTCATACTGATGCTAGTAGTCAAGGCTTTGGTGCGGTATTACTCCAATTGTCTGATGATGGTAATTATCACCCAATCCAGTATATGAGTAAGAAGACTTCACCGCAGCAAGAGAAACTCTGTAGTTACGAATTAGAAGCCCTTGCAGTAATAGAAGCTCTGAAGAAATTTCGAAACTATTTGTTAGGGACTAAATTCAAAATTGTAACTGATTGTAGTGCTTTTCAGAAAACTTTAGATAAGAAAGATTTAACTCCTAAAATTGCGAGATGGGCAATGTTTATTGAAGAATTCGATTACGAAATTGTACATCGTTCAGGAAGCCAAATGAAACATGCTGATGCTTTAAGTAGAAATGCTTTAATTTTAACATCATACACATCCGATGTAACTGAGAAGATTCGGTTAGTACAACAACAGAATGAAGATGAACATGTGAAAGTTAATCAAGAATTTAGTTGAGAAGGGAGAAGAAAATGGATTCTTCGTGAGAAATGATATTTTGTACAAATTTGAAAATGGTAAAGATCTTCTAGTAGTGCCAGAATCCTTACAGAATGAAATCATACAGAAGGTACATAAAAAAGGTCACTTTGCTGTAGATAAAACTGTGAATGCTGTAGAGCAAGAATTCTATATTCCCAGACTGAAATGCAAAGTTGAAAAAGTAATTGCTAACTGTATAGAATGTATACTGTACAACAAGAAGCAAGGAAAAGCAGAAGGATTTCTTCATCCTGTACCGAAAGAAAACGTTCCCTTGAGTACGTATCATATCGACTTTATTGGACCTCTTCCATCGACGAACAAGAGATACCAACACATTCTAACTGTTGTCGACGCTTTTACGAAATTTACTTGGTTCTATCCAGTGAAATCACCAACTACGCAAGAAGTTATTTCAAAATTGAAGCAACAACAGACTGTATTTGGAAATCCAGCCAGAATCATTTCAGATCGAGGTAGTGCCTTTACATCGAAAGAATTTTCAGCTTATTGTACTGAAGAAGGAATAGAACATGTCAAAATTACTACCGGTATTCCAAGAGGTAACGGACAAATTGAGCGAATTCATAGAATTTTGATTCCTGTTTTGTCAAAATTATCACATGAAGATTCAACGAAATGGGTTTAAGTATGTTTCAGATGTTCAGAGAATAATCAACAGTACAACTACGAGAAGTACGAAATATTCACCGTTTGAGCTTCTCATAGGCACGAAAATGAAGAATAAAGAAGATTTGAGAATTAGTGAGATATTGAATGAAGAATATCTAAAAACAATTGATGCAAGAACGTGATGAAATGAGAGAAGATGCGAAAAACAACATTTTGAGGATTCAAGAAGAGAATCGAAAACAATTCAACAAGAAACGTAAGAAACCGAAACTATACAAGATTGGCGACTTGGTAGCCATTCAGAGAACTCAATATGGGACTGGTTTGAAACTACGACCTAAGTTTCATGGACCGTATAAAATCATAGCTGTTCGATCAAATGACAGATATGAAGTCGAGAAAGTAGGATGCCATGAAGGACCAAATTTGACATCTACTGCGGCTGACCATATGAAGCCATGGTCAAATTGATTTGATGTTTGTATCAGCTCAAAGCCTAAGGACCTGATACTCTTTTTTCTTTTTTTTTTTTTTTATTATCTTTGCAGGTACATGATAGTGATGTCCATTCAACAGACATCGAGGACGATGCCTCTTCAGGCTGGCCGAAGCTGTGGGAAATCATACCGTCCAATGCTGAATGAGAATTGCCCGTTATGACGTCATCAGTATAGCATCACCCAGCGCAGTAAGAATCATCCCAGACAGCGCTGAGACCTGGTCGAGAGTGGAGGGCAGACGTGAGCAGACGGCTCACACGTCTTCAAGAGTTATTAACTTTGATGTTGATTATGCCTTAAAAGGCATCATTATGTTAATCCTGCATACCGTTAACTTCATCTTTATTACTTTTCTTAATTACTTTTATTTCTTTCTATTAAATAAACCATTTAAATATTACTTCGTGCTCTCATGCTGTGAATTAAGTCAAATTCTACATAACTTGAAAAAAATAAAGTTCCTGTTTGACATTTTCATTATAAGTTCTCATAGATGCGCTTCTCTGAGATATGTAAGAAGACGTGCCATGGTTTCGTTTCTTAAGATAAATCACGTTTAATTGTTTACAGTGTACACCGAGCATTTTTAATGATTTTGCAACGTACCTTTGCAATAGTCGAAGATGTCCGTTTTTTCCTTGGATACTTGTTTGGAATTTTTGTCCCACTTGAGGCTCCAATTTGACGTTTTTTTTTTTTTTTTTTTTTTTTTTTTTTTTTTTTTTTTTTTTTTTTCCTTTCTTGTTGATGATATTACCTATCGACGCTTTATATATCACAAAACCATGACTCTCACATCGTTTTTGGATAACGGAGTATACATATTTATCTTCGGAGAGCGTAAATGTAGCCTTCGAACCACTGCTTTGTTAAATTCGCCATTTTGAATAAAAACAAAACTTTCAAAACACAGACGATAATTTTGACTTTTAAAAACATAGTACAACTGCAATTACTTCTTTTGCAGCAAACGATTTTTTATTACCGCTTACCAAAATCGTCTAAAAATGTGCAAACAGCCTCTGTACAATAACACGAAATGAAACCATAAACAAATTCTGATGATATACTTTAAATTAAATCTCTAGAAAACATGAAATTATCTTTATCTTTTGTATAAAATAATTATTAGTGATGAAATGAGAAATATAGGAAACATAAACCAAACCATAACTTATGATGTGTTTTGCGTTTCCTAAACAATTATAAATCGAAACAAAATATTGCCTACTAAAACTATTTTTAATTGCATTTAGAGATATTTTTCTACCTATACTTTGCTATAATCTCATCAAATATGCACATTATTATTAGTATAGTTTTGCAAAGAAGAATAGTATTAAAATTCCTTGAAAATTTTCTCAATTTTTTAAACACATAAAAGCCATAATAATAATAAAATGCTGAACATGCCTTGAAAAAATGCATGTATGCTTTTGTCAAATAAAATTCGCTCACATAACCAATAAATCTGAAAAACTGCACTTACTTTTACACTCCGAAAGTCTAACAGTGGCGATGCCCTTTCTTGCAGGAACTATTGACGGCGCTTTCTTTTTTGTACGCATTTTATTTGATTCGAAAAAAATCTTTTACCAAAACAAAAAATATCCCATACGACTCACAGAATGTTAACATTAAATATGATATTTATATTTAACCTAGAACTTGAATTTTCACGTGTTTTATTTCTCACGTGATGCCATTTTTAGTCCAAAGGTACAATTTGCCCAGAATGACTATTAATTTCGTTTTGGCATTTTGCGGCGATTCACTACAAGCGTTGTTTCCAAGGAGTTCACTTTCCAGTTGGTTGTTGCCACCAAATATTATCGCCCTGTGTTATATTTAAAGAAATTAAATAATGAAGAATCTGCATAAATGTGTGTACGTTTCTCGCATTGTGATAAAACAACGGTACCTAGACCCATCAAATTTTGAATAACGTAATGCTGCTGCGAATATGAGCATCAGGAAGCCCAAATTGAAATTTGTTAGTCCAAAGGGATTTGAATCCCGAAGGACTATTAGTTTCGTTTTGGCATTTTGCGTCGGACTCATAAATGTCGGTTCACTTTTCAAACTGTTGCCACAAAATGTTAGAGTCTTGCATTATATTTGAAGAAATTAAATAATGAAAAATCTGCATAAATGTATGTATATTTCTCGTATTGTGATAAAACAACGGTACATAGAGTCATCGAATTTTGAATAACGTAATCCTCCAACGAATATGAGCATGTGGAAGACTAAATTTGAAATTTGTTTTATGATCGATTTCCTATTTTTTAAAACTTTGACGAATTTTTGATTAACAAACTCAAGGATTTCAAAGCGAGCAATGGCAACGTTGTGCAGAAAAAACATTTTTATCTCCAGCGCGTGAGTCTGTATCGGAAATTCTAAAGATATGCTCGTTTTAAAACTATTTTGCGATATTGCTGTTGCACTGGATCTTATGTTTAAGTGCGAGGAACATGATATTTAATAAAGAAAGGTAGCACACAAAATGTTAAAAAACGCCCCTTTAGACGTAATTTAAAATCTGAAACATTTCAGATTTTGTTTTTCTTTTATTATTAATTTCATATTTTGTAAAATTTTAACGAATTTTTGATTAACAAACTCAAGGATTTCAAAGCGAGCAATTGCAACGTTGTACAGAAAAAACATTTTTATCACCAGCACGCGAGACTGTGTATCAGAAATTCTAAAGATATGCTTGCTCATTTTTAAATTATTTTGGGATATTGCTGTTGAACTCAATTTTGTGTTTCTCAAAATATTAAAACATAAATTTAATAAAAATACAATTGTTTAGAACGGAGCAAAAAAATGGCTCACATAAGTGATGGGACACCATTACTACTACTACGTACTACAATACAAATATTTTTTTGAATTTTTATTTTTACTCAAAAGCAATTGGCAATAATTTATAAAATCGTCTGCAGTATTTCTCTCTAGTTTGTTTTGGAATTTTTGTGTTTTTTAGCTTTGTGCAGCCATGAATGCTAAACGAAAAGAAACTTTGCCTGAAATTCGAGAATTAGTTATTAATTTGCATATTGAACGTGGAAAATCTATTAGAGAAACCGCTGAAACAGTTAACTTGAGTCATTCAACAGTTTTCAATATCATTAAACGATATAAAAAGAATCATATGATTCAGGATAAAAGAAGACTTGGCCGACCATCAAAAAAGCGAATTATCATTCGAAATATTAAAAAAAAAAATCCAAGAATGAGTGCTCCTAAAGTTGCTGCTGATTTACAAGCATTATATGGAGTAACTGTTAATCCTGAGACTATTAGAAGAGTAATTCGATCTGCTGGATATCACGGTAGAGCAGGCTGGAAAAAAGTCTTCGTAATTGAAAAGAATAGAAAACTCAGACTGGCTTTTGCAAAATCCAACATAAATAAGAATTCTGATTACTGGAATGAAGTTATATTTGCTGATGAGAGTAAATTTAATATATTTGGTTCTGACGGTAGAATCTTGGTGTGGAGAAAATCCAAGGAAGAATTTCGCAAACAGAACTTGGTGCCAACAGTAAAACATGGTGGAGGAGGAGTTATGGTATGGGGGTGTATGTCGTCCGCTAGAGTTGGTAATTTTGTTTTTATTGACAGTATAATGGATCAGTATAAGAATATTGACATTTTAAATCAAAATTTGAAATCTTCAGCACGAAAATTGAACCTTCATAACGATTTTAAATTCTACAGGACAATTACTCCAAGCACACTGCTTTGAACTTTAGACTCTGGCTGCTGTATAACTATCCTGAAATAATAAAAACACCACCACAATCTCCAGACTTAAATCCCATAGAGAATATTTGGCAAGAACTGGAATCAAGAATTCGCAAACACACCATTTCTTTAAACAACAATTAAATTGATGCTTCTTCAAGAAGAATGGTGTAAAATCACTCAGAAATCACGAAAAAAAGTCGAATCCATCCCAAGAAGATTAATCATGTTTTAAAAGTAAAAGGAAATCCAAGAAATATTAAAACCTTTTAAAAAGTAAAATTTTTGGATAAATATTTGACGGAAAAGTAAGTGTCCCATCACTTATGTGAGCAATTTTTTTGCTCCGTTCTAAACACTGTATTTTTATTAAATTAATATTTTAATATTTTGAGAAAATGTATGTTATGTAATAAGTTACTAAATTTAAGTATGAAATACACAAAAAATTTTTACATGTTTTTTTAATTTATTTTACTACAATTTCCTTTTGTAAAGCACAAGTGTCCCATCACTTTTGTGAGACACTGTAATTTGAATGATTTTGCAGCTAAAATCGTGAAATTCCACAAGATTTTCATTTTATCATGCTTGATATAGAACTAGGTATTTCTGCAAAAAAAATTAAATTAAAGCATAAGAAATATGATATAATACGGAGCAGGCAAAAGTTTATGTCACAGTTTTTACAGGCACATATGATAAATTAATAAAATGGTTGGTCGCGCGTGATGGAAATGCAAGTTCACTGATTTTCCATGCTGTGAATTTCGTTTTGCCGTCAGAATTAGTGATGGAAATGAGTATAATAAATTACTCAATGAAACATCTTGTGACAACACAAACAGTTTATTTTTACAAATCTAATAAGTGTCAACTTTAGCTTTGACTTCTCAAACAGCACTCAAAATACAAATGGCGTAAAGCTCATTAATTCTCATAGACATATGAAAAGCAACTCAAAGCCATTTTTCTCATTTTTCTAATAAAAAGAACAAGTTCAATACTTAAATGTAAAGAGCTCACAACTGTTACCATTCGGTATTTACTAAATTACATCAAACAAAGATAATATTTAGATAGATATTCAACTTGACACTGTATATTAGGTTGTCCAAGAATTCCTGGGGCAACAATAGGTATTTACAATGAATATTCTCCAGAAGAAATTGAGAGAGCTAAGTAGTGACTGCAATAACGTAATTGGGCATTCTAAAAAAAGTGCATGCTACGTATGTTGCATAGAATTGAAATCCAGAGAATATAATTCCATCTACTTGTTACTTCCTCAAGTTAATCGGTCATTTGCGTAACGGGATGAGAGAGGGCAATATCGTCCTTAAGAAAAAGTTATTACCCATTGCAACCAACTTGACATAAGGATCAAGAACCTCACGTTTTTATTCCCCCCCCAACGTTAATAGTTGCACGTAAGATGCTCGTCCATACCATGATTCCACCACCTATATACCGATGCCTTTTACTAATATTTTCAGGTTTATTGCATGTGTTTTTCTCCTTCCAGATTGTAAGGCTTAAACGAAATTCATCAGTAAAAAGAACCACGATGGCTTTACTCACTTTGTTAAGTGGATTTATCTATCAGCAAATCTGTAGACTTGGCTGCAACCCATGATACTTCCAACCACAAGATCTCTGCACCACTGCAACCGGGTGCATTTTGAAGCCCAAGTGAGCGAGTCACAAATCATGGATTTCATTATTTTCAGTATCAAAAATGAACGCAACTCTCCAGAAAAAAATTTAGAAATGACGCTCATTGCTGTTCTGATTTTTGAGGTTCTTGAGTGTGATATGGTAATTTTGTAAAAGTGTGGTTTTCTACCAAAGGAGTAAGTACACTTGCTGTAAGTTGAAAACATAAAAGTCTTTGCTTTCCTTGAGTTTAACAAAACAGATGAACATATCATGTCAGATTATGACACATTAGTAAAACCATATCATGAATAACAGATGAATGCATGAAAGAAAACAGGAATCGAGTCTTTTTGACAGTTCATTTACTTATACAGGTACTTAAGGGCATAATAAATTATCGAGAAGCCGTGCTAGATTCCTGTTACAATCTAGTATTTCACAGCTATATTCCAGCGTAGGTTTCCATGCCTTTAAATCAACACACCACGCTGGAATGATTAACGGCTATTAGCAA